CCCCACGCAACTGCAAGCTCTGAACTTTGGGACTGGCCAAAGGCCATGCGGAGACGCAGTGGACGATGGGAATGGACTTGAATTGGGACACACCCCTGCAACTCTGACCCTCGACCCCCACCTTGAGGTATCGCATTGCTCCCCCCCGACCCTTCTTGCGCCCCCACCCCCCTCATGCCAGCTCAGAACTTTGGGACTGGCCAAGGACCATGCCCAGACACAGTGAACGGTGGGAGTGGACTAGAATCGGGACACACCCCTGTAGCTCTCACCCTCGACCCCATCTTCAGGTGTCGCATTGCACCGCCACGACCCGGATCACGCCCCCGCCCCCCGAAAGCTCTGAACTTTGGGACTCGCCACGGACCGAGCACAGACGCAGTGGATAGTTGGAGTGGACTTGAATCTCGACACACCCCTGCAGCTCTGACTCATGCACCCCATCTTCAGGTATGGCATTGCTCCTGCCCACCCGGTTCACGGCCCCAACCCCCTCTGGCCACCTCTGAACTTTGGGACTGCCCAAGGGCCGAGCGCAGACGCCGTGGACTGTGCTAATAGACTTGAATCAGGACTCACCCCTGCAGCTGTGACCAAAAACCCCTATCTTCAGGAATCGCATTCCTTCCCCCCCGACCCGGCTCGCGCCTTCCCGCCAGCTCTGAACTTTGGCTCTGGCCAAGGGCCGTGCGCAGACGCAGTGCACGGTGGGAATGGACTTGAATCGGGACACACCCCTGCAGCTCGGACCCACGACCCCCATCTTCAAGTATCGCATTTCCCCCCGACCCGGCTCGCGCCCCCCCCCAGACAGCTCTGAATTTTGGGACTGGCCAAGGGCCGAGCGCAGATGCAGTGGACGGTGGGAGTGGACATGAATCGAGACACACCCCTGCAACCCGGACCCACGACGCCCATTTCAGGTATCGCATCGCTCCCCCCCAACCCGGTTCCCGCCCAACCCCCCATGCCAGCTCTGAACGTTGCGACTGGCCAAGGGCCGTGCACAGACACAATGGACGGTGTGAGTGGACTTGAATCGGGACACACCCCTGTAGCTCTGACCCATGACTCCCGTCTTCAGGTATCGCATTGCTCCCCCCGACCCGGCTCGCCCTCCCCCCCCAGCCAGCTCTGAACTTTGGGACTGGTCAAGGGCCGTGCGCATGCACAGTGGACCGTGGGAGTGGACTTGAATCGGGACACACCCCTGCAGCTCTGACCCACGACCCCCATCTTCAGGTATTGCCTTGTTACCCCTGGATCCGGCTCGCGCCCC